GCTCGCCGGATTCCAGGTTCAGTCCTACAATAAATTTGTTTGTTAGGAACAGTGGAACGTGTGAATACACGGTGGATGATGACGTTGGTGCGGTGATGTGGTTTGAAGAAATGTGAATTTCTTCTTTTTAACAATGTATTTGGCGTAGAAATATTATTTTCGACGCCCCTGAAGAAAAAAGGTTTGAAGAAATGTGAATTTCTTCTTTAAAAACAATGTATTTGGCGTAGAAATATTATTTTCGACGCCCCTGAAGGAAAAAGGTTTGAAGAAATGTGAATTTCTTCTTTAAAACATGTATTTGGTGATAATGTTCATGGGTTATTATCACCTTACCGAGTAATTGATTAACGAAATAGGGTTTCGTTATAGGTAATGAGTAATAGAAATTTATATTTCTATTACTAACGAAATCATATTTTCGTTAATAAATTATAATTTTTAATACATATTTTTATTAAAAATTATTGGAAAAAACGAAATTAACATTTCGTTAGTAATAGAAATATAAATTTCTATTACTCATTACCTATAACGAAACCCTATTTCGTTAATCAATTACTCGGTAAGGTGATAATAACCCATGAACATTATCACCCATACCAAATACATGTTTTAAAGAAGAAATTCACATTTCTTCAAACCTTTTTCCTTCAGGGGCGTCGAAAATAATATTTCTACGCCAAATACATTGTTTTTAAAGAAGAAATTCACATTTCTTCAAACCTTTTTTCTTCAGGGGCGTCGAAAGTAATATTTCTACGCCAAATACATTGTTAAAAAGAAGAAATTCACATTTCTTCAAACCACATCACCGCACCAACGTCACCATCTACCGTGTATTCACACGTTCCACTGTTCCTAACAAATAAATTTATTGTAGGACTGCACCTGGAATCCGGCGAGCAAAACCTCGGCTAGAAAGGTTCGTTACAATTGGCGCCCGAGCAGGGACAGTGGGAACAAAACTGACCAACATCTTCAGTTGAGTATGGAAGACAAACCAACGGTGGTACCATCAGGAATCAAGGAAGTGACAGGACAGGCAGGCCGTAAAACAGCAGTCGCTTCGACAAGCGCAAAACGATTAACATCAGGAGGTAAATCTTGGATTTACTTCGCGAAAAAGGAGGAACTGGTGAGTTACGCAGACGAGTTCGGATTAGATCCAAGTGGTTCACTGGAGGAACTTCGGAAAAAACTTTAAACGTTCATGGATTCAGAGGCTGTTGAGAAAGATACCGCCCGGCTACAGGAACTCGCTAAACTACATATCAGAAGCTCATCACCGGGAGTCATTGAAAATAGACGTCCTTCGATAACTAAGGGAGGAAGTGTAACCATGGCCGAATATCCAGTAATCATCAATCAAGTCAGAAAATGGGAATGCCACTACTCAGGGGAACACGAAATACTACCATTTATAGAACGGATCGAGGAACTGGCGGATATGTACGGAATACATAGGGACTTATTACCGAAACTAATACCTGAAGTACTAAAAGACAAGGCACTGATCTGGTTCAGGAATAACAACAAGCGATGGACCGAGTGGCCATCATTCAAAGCAGATATATTAGCATTCTTCTTGCCCCCAAGATACTTCGAACAATTAGAGGACAAAATACGAGCCCGCCTGCAACAACCCAGGGAACTGTTCAGAGATTATGTATTGGCACTGCAGAACATCATGCAATATTCAACATACAGTGAAGAGATAAAATTAGAGAGGATCTACCGGAACAGCCGTACCGAGTATCAATGGTACATCCGTAGGAAAGACTTCCAGTCATTATCCGAGCTGTTAACATTAGCTGGGGACCTGGAGGCACTGACCGCTACAGACCGTCAAGTAAGAAATACGCTACCGGCTAAGGAGATCAAAGCAAGAGTGATTGATGCACCTGAAGACAAGATCAAAGATGTCAGGACAGCTTGTCGTCGTTGCGGGCAACAAGGACACTTGAGGTGGAATTGTCGTTTTACAAGCATCTTATTTTGCTGGGAATGCGGGAAAAAAGGAAAACGTACAATTGATTGCTGCAGGAACCAGGGAAACGAAGTCAGGGTCCATCGACAGAACGGGGCGATGAGACCACAAGACAACACCCCGTCCCATCAGTAGGATGCATGAAGCTCAGTGAATCACGTCTGTCGGCTCAAGTGACTTTTAATCAACAAGTCATGAAAGCGACGATCGATGCAGGATCCTCGCGAAATTTCATCAATTCGCAAACGGCAGCAAAAGAAGCGCTCATCAGGCTCACAGTAGTCGAGTATCCACAAGTGATCCCGTTACAGAATCAGTCCAACCTACGTACAAAAAAACTTAGCATGCAGGATCGAAATTATCTAGAACAGCATCCAAAACCACTACAAGAAATTTCACAAACGCCATGTAAATGTCTCACACCTCCACAACAAGGATTGCAACGCCTATTGTCGATTAAAGAAAATCCAGAAGTTTTTCATCCAGCCCGAGTAATACCAGAAGAAGTGCAGCGACAGCAAAACACAGAGTCTAACACAGAATTACCGAGTCAAGAAATACACCGTCAGCAACACACAGAGTCTAACACAGAATTACCGAGTCAAGAAATACACCGTCAGCAAAACACAGAGTCTAACACAGAATTACCGAGTCAAGAAATACACCGTCAGCAAAACACAGAATCTAACACAGAATTACCAAGTCAAGAAATACATCGACAAAACACAGAGTCTAACACAGAATTACCAAGTCAAGAAACACCAGGTCAACAGGAACAACCGTCACCTCAGGAGAACTTTAACGTAGATCAACCGAAGGCAAAAGGAGCCAAGTCACCAACGCTAGTAAGACAATGTTTCGTCGAGACTGAGATTCCAAATAGTAGTCAAAATCGCCAGCAACAATTAAGACGTTTAGGTATACTTAAGCAAAAAGATGACAATCATAACATCATAGCCCAAGACAAGTTCTTTAAAATTTTCAAAAATCCAAGGAAACGAACAAGGAATCATTCTACGAGGTAATCAGAGTCCTTCAATTCGATGGAAAAACCGGGGAAGTGTAACATAAAATTTACACTCGTAAATTTTACTACACAATCACATTATAATACAAAACAAAATAAATATAATAAAAAACAACACACATCAAAAACAATAGAAAAACTTGTAAACAACGCACCGTTGCAATTACAAGAACAAATATACTGTTTGCTTCGCACATCATAGGTATAAAAGGCGAAGCAAAAGCAGTAGACGGGGATTCAGCAAGACATCGAGCTGCGAACAGGTTGTTCCACAATACACATGCTGAAAGCACCACAAATCGAAATTTACATCTCGATTTCTTTTTTTATTAATTTTTTTTTAATTTAATAGAAATTCACATTTCTATTAAAATTCATTATCAAAAACGAAATTAACATTTCGTTAGTAATAGAAATATAAATTTCTATTACTCATTTACTAAAACGAAATCATATTTTCGTTAATAAATTATAATTTTTAATACATATTTCTATTAAAAATTATTAGAAAAAACGAAATTAACATTTCGTTAGTAATAGAAATATAAATTTCTATTACTCATTACCTATAACGAAACCCTATTTCGTTAATCAATTACTCGGTAAGGTGATAATAACCCATGAACATTATCACCCATACCAAATACATGTTTTAAAGAAGAAATTCACATTTCTTCAAACCTTTTTCCTTCAGGGGCGTCGAAAATAATATTTCTACGCCAAATACATTGTTTTTAAAGAAGAAATTCACATTTCTTCAAACCTTTTTTCTTCAGGGCGTCGAAAATAATATTTCTACGCCAAATACATTGTTAAAAAGAAGAAATTCACATTTCTTCAAACCACATCACCGCACCAACGTCATCATCCACCGTGTATTCACACGTTCCACTGTTCCTAACAAACAAATTTATTGTAGGACTGAACCTGGAATCCGGCGAGCAAAACCCCGGCCAGAAAGGTTCGTTACACGTTAAATCTTATTGTCTTTGAAAGCTTGCAGAAAAGAGTAACGGCAAAAATTTTAAAAGTATTATAGTTAGTAACCCAAACAATTTTAGTTATATATTAACAATAAATTTACTAAATTTGTCAGTATGTTTGGAGTATCACTCTTTTTTATCCATAGTTATAAGAATATTAAAATTAATTTCACAATAACTAATATCTTGTCCATTACGGATCCGAATGTTAGTGAATTTTAAGTCATCACGTAGGAAATCTACTTTTTCAGTTATTAATATAATACCATAAATAATAAATTTATTAATATAATAAATAAATAATTTAAATAAATTCTTAATCATTAAATAATTTAAATAAAATACATTTCAATGTTAACCCAATTTATTATATTTTTCTTGAATTTACTCAATTCTGCAGTTCTTCTCGTCAGATTATAAACTATAATATGCAATATGAAACAAAATTTTATTATCTTCAAAATTTACATAATATCTTTGCTTACCTATAAACTTAGCTATATAAATGAGCTTATCGAAAAGTAATTAAGTTCCTTTAAGTAGGATAACAATTTAATTCGTGCTACACTACAAATCTCTGTTTAGTAATAAACGTATATATTAGGCGTGATTTATGGGTGATAATTAGAGTAGATACGCCCATTAAATGTCTACAGAATGCAGCAAATTGCATAAACTTAATTAACTTTAACCCTAATTAATAACTTAATTTGTACATTTTTCTAATTACTTTGTGGAACTATTTCAAACCTACTGCTGTCTATGTAATTTATACCAGGAAATATGAAAAAAACACCAAAAATAAAAACAAGCAAAATAAAGGAAATTTATTCCAAGAGGAGACTATAAAAATGGTAGGATGAAAGTATTGGCCAGACAAAATTCACAAATTGGATTTTTAGGACATTTTTAATTTATTGTGCTGTGAAGAAGATGAATACGAGTACTTTTTGTATAAATTGCATTTTATTTATTTATTTTTTATTGTTTTTCATTTCAGGTCTCATTAAGCATATCCATTCTGCTGTCGTTGACTGTGTTCTTCTTGCTGCTTGCGGAAATTATTCCTCCAACATCATTAGTTGTGCCGCTTTTAGGGAAATTTGTGCTATTCACAATGATACTTGATACGTTCAGGTAAGTTTTACCCCAACCCCCAACATTTGTGGGCACTGATGGAACTTTTTGTGTTTTCTGTTTTTTTGTTTTTTTTTTTTGGTTTTTGTTCTTTGCCACTTACTGTGGTAGCAATAAAGACAAAAACAATAACGTTTACTTGAAAATGTGTGTGCATTTAGTTTGTTTTGTATGCTTATGGGTGCGTGTGTGTATAAATATGTATTAGTGTTTAGTAAATTGTTGTTGCAGGTTGAAGTGGAAATGAAAGTATGCTCCAAAATGCTTTGATTTCCGTTAACGTAAACAAAATATAACTTTTGCCCTCTCAAATTACTTTTCGTTACGTATCGAGTTTACCTTTTGTTGTTGCTCTTATGAATTTAGTTTTTATTTTCTTTGTACTGGTTTTCGATTATTGTTTTTGTTATTGTTTGATTCATATTGGCAGCGTTGGCCGTTATGGTTGTGCTATTTCGTGTGTTATGCATTGTTTATACAATTTTCTTGTTTGTTTTTTTTTTTTGTTGTGCTGTTCAATTTACTTTTTTGTTTCTTTTCAAGTGGAAATTCATTTGTATTCGAATTTTTCCATACAATTTCTGTTTAAATTTTTATTTTCATTTTGGCTTTAACTTTTTTCTTTTTGTTTTCATTTTATGTTACTCAAATTTTGTGTAAAAAATACGTTTGGCTTTATGCCCAACGGCGTCAGCGGGTGCCAATGATGCAAATGGCTTGAAAACGGCGCTAAAAAACCATTCGAGTTGGCAACAAAAAAAAATATCAGTGTGGTTCACTGATTGTATTTGCCAGGATGTTAGACGATATTTGCTTGTAAAATGTTTTGACATTTTTCAGTTGATAGCAGTACAAATCCTTAACATTGTCTGCATTTATTATGGCGTTTTAGCAAACACAAACATATACATATCTCCTTACACAAATACACATGGGTGTGAACATTATTTATTTCTTCAAGAAATCATCAATTTTTATACTTTTTCTTTTCTACTTTTTCTCCTCTATATTCATTATTTTCTTTCTAAACTTTTTATATTAAAAAGAGGTCCTTGAACTCACTGGGTTAGTTAAAATTTTCAAAGCAATTTTAATTCCCATCAACTTTTCAGGTATTTATTGCAAGCACATAACAAAGACATTTTCAACATTTTTAATTTTATATTTTATTTTTATAAACGCAATAGATTAACTTTTGCTTTTTGCGTGTTTAAAAATGCCGCACTTAATTAACCACATTAAACACAAAAAAAAAAGTAAAAAAATAAATAAACAAAATTCAACACACTTTCACACTCCATTTGAGAGTTAATTTTTTACCGCCTCCTGTCACATACCATTTGCATATGCTTCATGTAGTAAAGCAAGCTGCCAACAAGCCGGCTGCAATGGATCAGCCGGCAGCTGCGTAACCGCACAATCAAGTCATCATAACAGCAAGTGCCGGAAAACATGTTTTGATATATTTACACACACACTCAGACAAGCAAACAATGCAGAGTATTTTTTCAGTGTATTTGCTTTACACTACAGTTTTTTATTCACATATTTTAATTAAATTCGCATTTGTTCCTTCTACTCTCTTCCTCTCGGTTTTGTTGATAACTTGTTATCCATGCTTCGCTCTTTGGCTTTACACTGTGTCAATTAAATTAAAAAAATCTCTTTTTAATAGCCAACAGGCGCTCAATGTGGCAAAAGGCTTATGCCATAATTTCGACATGCTGCCATGTCTGTCTAACCTTTTGCAGTGTCTTGATTTAATTGTTATGGGAAACCCAGCACAAGCATGTGGTCCATGACTGAGCTGATTATCTGCACAGGATATCAGCTTGCAAACAGCTTTTAAAGTTACCTAACCGCAATGTACCAGTTAAAGGATATGAAAGCCTTTACAAGTGCAAAAGCATATTTGTTTATTCCTAAATATTTTTACCACAACTTATAGAAGCTAAAGCAGTAATTGTGTATTTCTTCCACAAGAAAAGCGCATTATATATCATATAGAGATATTTGTTATAACTAGCCTGCAAAAAAATAACATAAAAAAGTATTATAAACAAGAAAAATAATTTTTTAATTTAAACTAGATAATTACATCTTTACTGTCACTATTATACATTCCATCCATTTTTCATTAATTTGATAACCTCACATTTAGAGATCAGTCTTTTAAATATCACATCTTAGGTTCTGCCAAACATACTATTTGAAACATTGAAGTCAAACGTTAGCCACTATTTGGACCTTATCTGTATAACTTAGACCTGACAAATCCACCATAAATATTCAGATATATATAGTGAGTGAAATCCCAGACCCAAAAACCAAGAAAAACAAATTGACACCATATATTTGTCGATTTTACAACCTATTTTAACACTACAACTGGAAACATTTTTTATGCCGCTATATCTGTATCTGCAAAACGTATACAGCTTCACAAAATAACGTTGAGCCAGATCACCAGCTTTGTTGGAATTGAGAAGATCCTCTCTGAGCAGTTTGACAACAAACGAGGTTTGAGAAATGATGACTCCATGTCATGTGATTTTCTTAATCTAATATTCGAAACGATAATCCGAGCAGGATATTTAAACCGTACTGGCATAATATTTTACAAAAGTTTGTTATTGCAACGACATATTAACGATCAAATTAAAGAAATTTATGAATGATACTCTGTATTTCGGCAAATAGTTAAAATGGCAACACCACTTCCTCTCCCTTCTACTATTTTTTACGTTTCTTACACCATAAAACTACTTTCCGTGTTTATGCTACTATGTTAGGAAATATCCTGCACATCTGTGTAGGTATGTATTAATCTGTTTCTTACCATAACAGATATATACACTGATACTTAAAGTCTTTCTGTATTGCGCAATTCAATACAAGGTAATAAGACTCAAAAATATTTCTATAAAGAAAAATGCTAGCAGTCTCTTGATGTTGCGTGTCAATTTACTCTCCCGTTTTATTATTTTTGTCACAATGGTAAGGAGGACGACGAAAATGCCGTCAGCAATTAACTACACTAAGGGTCTCCTTTTTTAAGGATCTTGGCCAGCACCAGTACGTCTCTTTAAAGTACTTTGTAATAGATGCAAGGTAATTTCTATGAAATCTGAGTTCCTAAACGATAACGCAATGAGCCAATAAACTAAGTAGAACCTTGGGATCGCTTGTACAATCTAATCTACAAATACTGACTATAAACAGAGTAGTTATCTGAACTTAGCTTTCTTCTTTCATTCATACAAAATTGCTATATTTTTTTCTCTAAAATCGTAACACTATTAATGGAAAAGAAAATATTTTAGCTACAATTATTTTTATTTTTAATTATTTAAATTTTAGTCAATTATACAGCTATTTCGATTATTCTCAAAACATTATTATTAGTGGTCTTCAAAAATATTTAAAAGTTTTTTAATTCATACATAATTTTTTCACTGCAAGTGTCAAGACCATTAAGAAGATTTTCCAATTAAAATAATATTTAAATATATAAGTACAAAATATACATAATTAAGCTTTTGAATTATAAATTATGAAACAATCTATCAATCAACAATTTAAACCTCTACTAGTGTAAGTTAAATAATAATAATAATGATTTTTTAATAAATAATTATGAAACAATCTATCAATCAAAAATTTAAACCTCTACTAGTAAAAGTTAAATAATATCAAATTAACAATTTAAACCTCTACTAGTATAAGTTAAATAGTATAATGACTGCAAAACCCTTGTGCAATATTAAATAATAAAGTTGAATCAAAAATTAAAAAATCTTTTGAGAATTACAAATTTAATTACAATTCAGCATAAATGTAATATTTATGATTATTTTCCATTTTTTTAGTAACTATTATTATACATTATGTATATTATTGCAAAGGTTGTAATTTTAATGCAGTTAAATTCAATTTAATTTTATTTATTTATTTTTATATATATGTTTTTTAATATTTTTTTAAACTCATAAATCATTTTTGAACTTGTCAGTGTGCACTGAACACACTCCAAATATATTTCAATCAAAAATTAATTGCAACCAACACCAAAACCACCTTCTCTCGACAATGCCATCGACACCAACAACAACAACCAACAACATGCATGAATTTCTAATAATATATGTATATAATGTTATATATATATACTATTATATATATTTATATTTATTTTCATATTTATATTTATATTTGCACATATTAACACACATAAACTCGGTTGCATTCCAACAATTTAGCGCTGAGATTCACTTGATGCTCCATTGTTAATATGGGAGCTCGAGCATATTGTGTAAGGCAATAAATGCATGATTGAGTGAATGAGTATAGATTGTGGTACAATTTCCGTTGTGTGTAAAAATTTGTAATTCAACGCATCATCAATTTCCCCAAAGTAATTTATTCTTTATTATTTTATTTATTTATTTTTCAATTTATTTTCATGCGCCTTTTTTTAATGGACTGATGCTGTTGTTGCCATTGCCGTTGCCGTTGCCGTTGCCGTTGGTTAACTGTACTCATTGCAATCAATCGTTTTATTGTTATTAAATCAAAACACAGTATATGCGTTACAGTGGTTGTACTGAACATTCACTTCCGCTCACCGCAAACACACACAATGGCACCTTGGGTACGTACTGTGTTCATTAACCAGCTGCCACGTTTCTTAGTTATGCGACGTCCGTTGTATCCCATAAGCGAAATGATGTAAGTCGAAAATTAAATTGCTTAACTCTTAACTCTAAACGAAAATTTTTCAAATAAATTTCATTAACTTTTACACGTAGCAAATCGTCACGTCGTTTAATGGTACGCACATGCAACGGATTTGAACTGAGGGATCAAATACCACCGCTGCCACCACCAGTGGCACTATCTAAGTAAGTAAACATTTTCAACAAAATTCTATTACAAAGTGAAATTTTCAAATTTTAATCAATGGCATTTTTATGCTTTCATCGCTATTTCATGCTTAGAATGCATCATAGTCCAAAAACGACATCACGCAGCACCTCACCGCACATGCAGCACAGAGTACAAAGTCTTAACCTAATGGACGAAACTATTGGCATAAGCGGTTGTGGTATGAGCACTACTGGTGCTTCAACTATAACAGGACATTTCTCTACACTCTACCCCTCAACAATAACAACCGTTAATCAGCAGACATCGACCACTTCGTCACTTGTAGACGCACAACATCATAGTCAATATCAACAAACGGGTGGTTCACTGCTCGATCATCCATTAACGCCTACGAAATTTCGTCGTATGGCATCAACATCTTGCCAAACAAATGGTGGAGGCAATGGTGGACCTTCAACCTCGCAATATAGCGGTGGTGCACATCATGCACACCATCATTTATCTGGTGCCATGTCATCATCAACAACAACATTACATCAACAGCATCAGCAGCATACACATCCACATCATCTATATCGCCAACAGTCAACATCATCTGCAAATTTTTCACCAGTACCATTGCATCCACATCAACAACACCAGTCAACAACAACCAGCGATTTGCTAGGCAATACCAACTCCAATGTGATAAAGTCAACAACGACTGTTAACTCTACAGCGACTGCCTCGACACTGGCCGACTCATGCTGCAGTGGGACCATACAAACGCATCAAGGTATGGGCACTGGTGCAGCATGTCAGTCAACAGAAACACAACAGCCAAGCAGGGTGCTGCCCGCTTGTCAACGTGAAGGTGGCCCACACTGCTGTTCGGGCCAAGAGAGCAGCACTGTGCGGCATCGTTGGCATACGTGTCCAGAACTGCATAAGGCTATGGATGGTGTAACGTACATTGCCGATCAGACACGCAAAGAGGAGGAGAGTACAAGGGTAAGTACATAAAACTACTATATATAGTTTTCACGCACATATGTTATTGACAATAGCTTAACTTAGTATATTGCATATTAAACACAGCACATTTTAGGACAATAAGCCTTATCATTAACTAAATAGCTAACATAATGAAACTATAAATATCAAAAAACAAAAAAAAACAAAAATAATCTGTCTATGAACATAAATTACAGTCGCATTAACATAGATTTTCATAACAACTACACACGCTTACACAACCATCCATATAGCCAGCATCTTTCTTAGTCAAAGCAAAACACTTTGTGAAATTTTCCAGAATATATTACAGTAGCAATTTCCGTTTCCTACTTTTCTATTCTTCGCTAGTTATATACGTTTGTGGGGTATGTTCAGTTATCAGTATGAAATCGCCGTTTCATTAACGATTGCATACGTGGCAATCAGGCGGCATATGTATTTGGCAGTGGGCACAGCGTCGCTCAGAGTAAATAGCGAGCACAATACGCCCTGCTTAAATGCCGCAGTGCAGTCAACTCTAGTATAGGCAAAGGCACGCTTAGACAATTTGGAAGCATAAATCAAATCAATACAGCAATTTTCGACATCAATACAAGCAACAACAATGACAGTAACACAACAAAGCTGCCTGCCTGCCAGCAATAAAACCAGCTTAACTGGTCAATTGGTCACATTTTTCCAAAAAGCATGTGGCATACACAGACATCACGCTACACCACCTCATATATGTACATATCTATGTATATAAGTATATGCTATATGAATATATCTATACATATATTTATATAGACCAAAATTCATAATATGTTTAGCGAAATCAAGATACTATTGATCACACACATACGAGGATACCCGTTCACACTCAAACTCACAAAAGATACAAACTTTCAAGTGAACGAACACAAAATGCAACTATTGAGAAGGCAATAAAATTTTGTAAGCATGTTTTCTTATTCCATATAAGGTGTCGTAGGCAAGACATGCCCTTTTGTTGACCTTTTAAAAGCGCCGCTTTGTACGTATCAAGAAATTTACCAGCCCACTTGATTGTCAAATATTGACAGTACAAATTCTTTTAGTGTACATTTTGTGTTTTGTCAAATAGCAAACAGCAAACACCGAACAGCAACAACCATTCCACTCTCGTACAAATGACAAACAAGTTGACAGCTGGACATGCAGGCAGAAGGAAAAGGATATGATAAGCACAACTCACAATACTTTAATTTCAGCGCCTACTACTACTCATATTGCACGTAGTGTATGTCATTGACATTCAAACTGAATTTATGTGCAAATATGCGTACCGAATTATTAAGGCAGGGCGAACAGGCGAACTCACAACACTGAGGATACACACTTTCGTCCTAAGGATAATCGTGGCGCTGTTGTACTCGTATGTATTAGCATATCGCATTGCTGATCAAATGTTTGATACTAAGCTGCATACCAAGCAGATTCGATTTTAGTGTCGTTTAAGGGGAGGCGTTAAATCACTTTGTACTTGAAAAATACCAAGGCACAAATCCATATTAACTTTGACATACACCGACTCATTTCCAACGACACTTGTAAGTTGACTTTATTGTTGTTGTCAATTTTAATATACGAGTAAAATACACATAAAAGCGTCCTTATGCAAAAAAGGAAAAATCAGTAAGTGAAATATTTCGTATGCATTCAATTAGAGAAAATTAAAGTTGTTATTGAATTATTTGCTCCTATCTACAGTTGAGGGTTGCAGAGCATATTTTAACTAAAATATGTATGCTTAGGGTTTAAAACAAGAAAAATCATTATTTACTGGAAGTATTTAGTAGAGAGGTTTTGAACAGTAGTGAACTACAACAACAAAATTTTATTATTTTATTTATTGAATTTTTGGCTGATCATACAGCTTTGTTTTGAGTATTGCCAATTATCCCATTAAATACAATAGTTTCTATTCAGTAAAATAGTTACTACCATCATCCATCATAACTGACGTTAAAATGCAAACTAAAGTATTATTTATCACTATTATTTATTGATTCCAAAATTCATACAGCACTTACAAAAATTATAGACTTTTACATAATACATATAGAAAGTTTTTGTGGTAGCTAGAAAGCATTGACAGCCACTGTGTGTGATTTTAACCCACTGAAACTACCAACACTGATCCAGAAGACAGTGTGTGAAACTTTATTCCTGTAATTAGGGTGCGGAGTTGAGAAAAATAGGCCATATACTTAGAAGTCTATTGGAAAGAATGTAGGCGGATAGGTGTGGCAGTTTTACAAGCGGAAGGGTCATATTAATTGTAAGCCCTATTACAACTATGATATGAGAGTGCCAAAGTTATAAAGTGGATGATTTAAGCATCTGAAGCTAGCACACATTACTTAACGAGTATATGTACATTTAAGTAAACAAAATTACCAGCTAATAGCACTTTAAAAGCGAAAAAAATGGAAACTACTGACAAACTCCCCTAAGTACACGAAATGAATTTGAAAAAAAATATTTTGTATGAGGTGTCTTTACAAAAATTTATTTTCTTAAAGTAAATGATCGATATACGAGTTTGTTTAAGAAGTTTTACATCCAACTATAATATCAGCCTAGAGATCAATCGAAGAATCACCATTCCCCATAGATACTAAAATGAACGCAGTTTGCTATTGATATGTATTGGTATGTAGAGCTCTCCACCGAAAGATAAAACTTGCACTCTATAGGTCGCTTATTCTACATGTGCTTCTGTATGATGTAAAAGCATTGATACTATCACAAAATGATGCAGCAGCACTGGAAGTTTCCAAAAGAAAAGATCTTTGGTCTTTTAATGCATCCGAATGTACAATAAGCTGTATGAGCTTTATCATGACATTTATATTATTCAACGTATTAACATTCAGCGGCTTAGCCGGCTTAGTCATGTTGTGAGATTAGATGATGACACTCAAGCGAAAAATATGTTTGAAGCGGTAGTTGGAGGAAGAAACTGTGGAGGCAGACTGTAACTAATGTGGATGATGCGGATGATGATACTACACATGTTGATATGGAATGGATGATAATACCCCATCGAAAATGATATTGAAACCGATAATTGGAAAGCGTTGGGTAGACTGGGGCTGATGATTTCGTTAGTGGTAACAGTTATAGAGTATCGAGAACATGAAATATATAGCTTACTAAGTGAATTCCTCTACTAAATGAAAAGCCACATGATCTCCAGATATAAATCATTTGTTAAAGAAACAATACAAGTTGTTTCAATTAGTTAAAATTGACGATGGATTACATATTCAATGTTAACCAATGTGCATAATTTCAATAAAAAGTTTTTCGAATCCGAACAGCTAAACTGTTGATATTATTCCTTTAAATACTGCACATTTGGTTTTTATATTTTGTTCTGCCTTTTCAAATTAGAATATTATGTATAAAATATATCATTTTTGAAAAAACTACATGTGTACATTGAATTTTCTGATTCAGTTAATAAAGAAGAAACTATTAAAGTTAGTAAAAAAAGGAATATAAAATAACACATACAGTAATTAATTTTTTATCCAGTTTTTGTATATCGCTAGTATTTTGGAGAAGTTTTCTTGCAAAAAAGATCTTATCTACAATGCTTTTATAATATAAGTTGGAAGAGAACCACATTTTATTTTTCTTTTAAATAACAAAAAAATTTAATGACAATCAAATATTGTTACTCATACGCCATGTATTATCTTTTAAGATATGTTGCTACGGTAGTCATAACTCAGTTTTTCTGTTTGCATATTTGAAGGAATGTTTACGAAAAATAAAATCCAAGAAACATATCCTGAAATGTATAAATATTTTTCTTATTACCACAAAAATTTGTACAACTAAAAATATTTTATTTATTTTTGCTAAAATACAGGATAATGGAAAAATAGTATGCATTTTATTTATTTAAGTGGTGCATACTTCACTGTGAAACCCCGTATTTCAGACGTATGAACCGACTTACATTTGTCAAATATTTTATGTGCAAGAGAAGGAATCACTAAGATATTTCATATCCTGCGTAACATGAAATATGTTAGCTGGGAAATGCGTGAAAGGATTTTAAGTTTTTTATGGCTTTTGTCCCCTTTCAGTGACATACGAGCACTTAAATTTCTACAACTAAGGCAATGTTAGATATTAAAATGAAAGTCGAGAAGAGAAAGATTAAATATGGAATGAAAAAATTTGTTTTGAAGTTTCAAGTTGTGGAATTTATGTTTTAATTAAATATTTTGTTTAATATTTTGGATATATGGTGTAGTTATATAAAAATAAAAACTAGAGATATCATAGTATAATACTGGCACCTTTTTTTATTAAATAAAAACTACAAATGGATTAGAGTAAATCTAAAATATTTATATTGTTTTTTTTTTGTAAAATTTTATTCCTATTGTTTATATATAAAACCTTAATATTTTGAAATGAGATTGAAAATATTTCATATAAATTTTTTGTGCATATTATAAGTATAGCCTTTGCCATATAGTATTAGTATAACATTTAATATTAAACATAATTATGATAAAGTACAATGGTGCATTGCTGCCAATGGCATCTATTATATTCGTATTATCTAGTACAATTCTTAACACAACAATATCAGATAGATACTTTTCATTTACACATGGTAATCATTACTCCCCGCGGGAAAGAATATTCCAGAGGTAAGGCGTGCATGTCGTAAAAAGCGAATAAAACCCAGAGCACCATCCGACATTGTTTGCGGTGTAAATGGTAGTGAGTGAGTTTTCACTTACGGCATCTGACCGGAACTGTAAATCTGGTACCACACGGGTCAGGGTCCGTGGCTTCGGCTGTCCTGACCAATTGAGGTTGGCAGTATCGTGGTGGCTGTGTCGTGGTGGAGTTGTATTTTTCAACTGGATGCTGTGACCCAAATATCAGCAAAAGTGCTACGACTCCTAACCAAGGGGGAAGTAATGCCAAACATTTAACTCAATTTGGTGTGGGTGGAAATTTCTGGAATCTCAAATGCCGCGTTTTTCTGCGCATTATTTTGATGCGTTTGTTGAGAACACCATGGCTCTCAAGCCTTCACGACAGGTAATCACGTAAATCACTCTGAATTCTGTGATTATTGCAGAATTTTGAATCTAAATAATGAATATTCAACGGTGACAACCGTACATATAGTACTTATGTTTTCAAAAAATGATTCATACATTAACACACAATTCTTTTATCAAATTTATTTTATTTTATTGTCAATTATGCAATAACAATTATAAATTACTAAAGGGAAACAGATTTTACTGTAGTTGTTGCCAATAAATCTAGTTGGATCACAAGTTGATCTCTGATAGAGGATTGATCAATGCCTGAAAAAAGTCGTTACTGCTTAAGAATTCTAAGTAGCCACCAAGTTAAAGAATTACAAAGTTAGTTCATCTATGACAAGATATTTCTTCTCAGTAGTGAAGAGTTTGTCATTATGGTTATCTGCTTGTATGGTATCTTAAAAACAAGACAGGTTTATCTAATCAGACCTCGACTATATAGGTATGAAACTAGATTAAACCCTTTGTCTATGACTGTCTTTGTTTTAGATAAAGACGAGAATAGTAAAAACTTTAAATGGAGATAAATGTATCCGTCTGGCGATAGGAAATCCTAAATAAGGAGCAATCTGACTTCCACCCGGAAGGCTGATTGTTTTTTTTTTAATTGCGACTAGAGTTGCTGATGTAAAGCAGCCCAGAATTTTATTTTTAATTATTTCTAATAAATAATTATTAATTATGACGTTATAAGCATATATAAAACACATACAAATATTTTTTAAAAATTGAAATTAAATAATTTTATTGAAATAATTGCTATAATAACTATTATTTAGAAGCTACTTATATTTCAATATGCTCCTTTTTGATTTCTTTAAAAATCTTTAATATGAAATATGCTTATCTTATGCCTTTTTTTAATAGGCTGCAAATTTTTCGAATATACAAAAATACTATATTTTCCCCAAAAAGTACTCGAATGTTCAAAACTGTGTAAAAACCCACACACATAATATTAAGCAAAACCGAGAAATGGAAACCCATAAAAAATAAAAGGAAATAAATTGCGGCGCACCGAAATACTCGTAATAACGAGAAGTACACATTCACCAATGAAGGAAAGCCCTTGAGTATCGAAATGGCAATAACACACGGGTGAATGCTTTCAATATGTTTTCCTACTAAAATCTCATAGCAATGATCCAATGTATTTATTTTTCTTCAAAAAATAATAATAAAAATGTTTTTATTGTTAGGAGCAGACTTTTCCGCTTAAGTGTCTTTCATTAAAACAGTAGGAAATGTTTTAATCTCAAATTGATATTTAAAAATGTAAAAGTTAAAAATGAATTTCTCATTTGAATAAGCATATGCTTATTTTCTAGTTTAATAATTATACTATTCACATTATTGGAATAACTTTATGTTGTGAACTATTAGAGGAATACGAGTACATATATATAGAATAGTTAAAATAATCCGAACTATGAGAATATCTATTTTTGATTAGGTTAGGTTGGGGTGGCGGAATAGTACCCACAGCCGACTTATGCTAAAATAATGATTTGTTGTAACACCATGGATTAGCGCTGTTCATATAAAGCCCAGAAAAATTCTCGAAAATAGCACATAGATCAACATACGAAGAACGCAGAGAGACACAACTTTTCCATTCAAATGAAAGTGAACCAACTTATCAATCCTATGAACTTAACCAAGTCCTCAATTTTGCAGGTTGACAGCTTTGTCAATTCAGTAAAAAAAGAGGCCCTAAAGACTAAAAATCTTTTTCTAGCCATTGATGGACATTCACACATAAGATGGAGCACAGTTTGCTGCTTATCCGCACAACCACCAATAGAGAGATGTTAGAAGTTCTAGCACTTCATCTCATGTAGGAAGAATAAGCTTTTAGTATTCAAAAAAATAATTTTCATACTTACCATCTTCTGCATATGCAAAGAGCATACTCGACATGATAAAATAAAAGTACTAATTCTCAAGGAGCAAGATTTAAACTTTATTTGACTATATGCGAATTTAAAAAAATTAGAAACTGCTTAAAGCTCTTTTCCACTCAAAAAGAATCGGATTTCAGTAGACTAAAGATGAATTTCCGAAAATTTCCCTGACTTACCAATCACGAATTATTATGAATTACTTAAAGAATCTTCTTTATTAAAAAGAAATTAAACTGAATAAAATAACAAGAGATTTTCTCTTGTTATCAATACTGAAACCTAAGCTACGAGTATTTAAGTGAACAAGAAAACTTACGGGTTATTGGCTTCCAATGCAGCAGAGCACTGCGAAAACGGTTGAGTTTCTGTGTTTCTAACCGACCCTAACTGAAGAAAAGACCTTTCGTCCTTTGAGTGAAGTCAATTTTGGAAACAAGCTACTACCATATCGGGATAGCAATTACCAGTCCAATGATATTTTTCTTTTTCAAATTAAAGCGGAGAGTCACAAAGAACACAACTAAAGGTCTCATCCACTTTTAAATAAAGTCCACGTTCTATTCCCTCAAACAGGTTCATTTTATTGAGATAATACCACAGGCCATGATTACGCGTCAGACAACCTACCAACAACCTCAACTCTGTACTTTATGTACAGAGTATGTAAAGTTATTCACATTATTGGAATAACTTTATGTTGTGAACTATTAGAGGAATACGAGTACATATATATAGAATAGTTAAAATAATCCGAACTATGAGAATATCTATTTTTGATTAGGTTAGGTTGGGGTGGCGGAATAGTACCCACAGCCGACTTATGCTAAAATAATGATTTGTTGTAACACCATGGATTAGCGCTGTTCATATAAAGCCCAGAAAAATTCTCGAAAATAGCACATAGATCAACATACGAAGAACGCAGAGAGACACAACTTTTCCATTCAAATGAAAGTGAACCAACTTATCAATCCTATGAACTTAACCAAGTCCTCAATTTTGCAGGTTGACAGCTTTGTCAATTCAGTAAAAAAAGAGGCCCTAAAGACTAAAAATCTTTTTCTAGCCATTGATGGACATTCACACATAAGATGGAGCACAGTTTGCTGCTTATCCGCACAACCACCAATAGAGAGATGTTAGAAGTTCTAGCACTTCATCTCATGTAGGAAGAATAAGCTTTTAGTATTCAAAAAAATAATTTTCATACTTACCATCTTCTGCATATGCAAAGAGCATACTCGACATGATAAAATAAAAGTACTAATTCTCAAGGAGCAAGATTTAAACTTTATTTGACTATATGCGAATTTAAAAAAATTAGAAACTGCTTAAAGCTCTTTTCCACTCAAAAAGAATCGGATTTCAGTAGACTAAAGATGAATTTCCGAAAATTTCCCTGACTTACCAATCACGAATTATTATGAATTACTTAAAGAATCTTCTTTATTAAAAAGAAATTAAACTGAATAAAATAACAAGAGATTTTCTCTTGTTATCAATACTGAAACCTAAGCTACGAGTATTTAAGTGAACAAGAAAACTTACGGGTTATTGGCTTCCAATGCAGCAGAGCACTGCGAAAACGGTTGAGTTTCTGTGTTTCTAACCGACCCTAACTGAAGAAAAGACCTTTCGTCCTTTGAGTGAAGTCAATTTTGGAAACAAGCTACTACCATATCGGGATAGCAATTACCAGTCCAATGATATTTTTCTTTTTCAAATTAAAGCGGAGAGTCACAAAGAACACAACTAAAGGTCTCATCCACTTTTAAATAAAGTCCACGTTCTATTCCCTCAAACAGGTTCATTTTATTGAGATAATACCACAGGCCATGATTACGCGTCAGACAACCTACCAACAACCTCAACTCTGTACTGGAGTTATACGAACGTACAAGCTCTTTAGCCTGACAGTTATCTGAAATGTCGCGACAGTAATGATTTCTTCCGTTTACAAAATAATTTTTCTACAGAACCTTTATTTTTAATTAACTTATTCCACAGTAAGGCTCCGATCCACAGAATTGTAAGGATTGTATCCTTGCAAGATTGTCTCTAGATTCATTGTTTTTGATTCCAATGTACTCAGACACTAAACAAATTATCAAATTGCTTTTGTTTGTCAGTTGTAGCAAGATATCACAACAGTCTATTTAAAATCTCGAAAAGCACCTTTAAACGACTAATGCCTTGATTGTTACTTAACTGTTTGTGTATGTACAGATACCTTTCAACCCTTTAGTAAATTTAACTCGACCGCAGACCTCATTGACTTAAACTTCCACTTGAAAGATAGTGATGCATCCACACAACTAAAGCGAGATTCTGGTGTTGGGGTCAAAGCAAGAGTCTTTGACCCTGCTCCTAACGGTTTTGGAGCCGTCAGTGATATCTTTTGCTTCCAAACCAGAGATGATTGGTGATATACTGAAGATCATAACTAAACTTCCTGAATACTTAAACATAATTAAATAATTTTTTTTGATAATTAAGTTATCAAATTTAATTTGATGAATTAATACCAATCATCGGATTAAAACTCTATAAAACTTTTTATTATTATTATTTAATTTAGAATCTTAACAATTTTCAAAAGTACGATAAAAATTTATTTTGTTATTTGAATAACAGAATAAATTTCAAATTTGAAGTCATTATAATAAAATAAACAAAATGGTTTTTAATAAAAATTTTTAAATATTTACCATATTAGATATATACAACTTCAAATCTAAATTTAATTTAAATTTCAAATGTTTTTTATTTTTATTTACAGGTTAAAGAGGACTGGAAATATGTAGCAATGGTTTTGGATCGTTTATTCTTATGGATATTTACAATAGCGGTTGTTTTTGGTACTGCCGGAATAATACTGCAGGCGCCAACACTGTACGACACTCGGGTACCAATCGATATTAAATTATCTGAAATTGCATCGACAACAGCGAAACCGAACATTGCCAGACCTGTGTTATAAATTTATTATGGTTTAAATAAAATTTAACAACAAAAACGAAAAATATTAAACAAAAACAATTTACAAATGAAACAAAATATAATAATAATTGAATTAAAATATAATAGAAATTAAAGCAAAAAGTGCAATAACAAAAAAAATATTTAACATTAACACTACACTACCAATAAATTGAAAAGAAAACAACAACAACAATAACAATAATAAAATATGTAAGTACGAGTAACAACAACAACAATTTCATAACCAACAGCACTAAAAAAATTGCAGTAAATTTTACTATATAGGAATATGAGTGGCCATGTGTGCGAGTGAGTAAAATAATGTATGAATTTCATTGAATTTTATATATATGTATGTGTAGAGTTTAAGTTAGAAATTGATATAAATTTCGTACTGTACTTTTTACATACCAATTGCATTCATAAATGTGTAATTTTTTTAAAAATAAATAAAGTAGTTATTGGTAGATTATTTAATTGTTTTGTAATTGTATTAAATTAATATATATTATTAAATTTATTTTTATATGCACACAAATAAATATAAAATTACATCTTTAGATATCATATATAGGTGTATAGTCAATGATTCGATAGAAAATGGATTGAGATGCTATCTCTATATATTCAGTTGCGAACCATATTAATCGTGTAATATTCAGAAAATTATATTCATATTCAATTCTTAGGTTCAGCCAATACCTATGTTCCTGAAGCTAGTTTTGAAAGTACCGTACTGAATTGCCTCTAGTGTGTTGATAAAGCACAAAACAAGTTACAGTACTAAATACACATTTATTGATTATATGAAGTAGTGGATCCATAAGACTATTGTCTACTGTAACCGCAAATCATTCTATTGTACTACTGTAAACCTATGAGCGTATTAATTTATTAAGAATACGGACCAGCTTCTTGAATTGTGCCCCTTTATAGTTAATGTTTTTTACAAAAAAAATAGTCTCTCATAACGTTTTTCTCAAAAATTTTTATTTACCTTTTTGTGCTCGCTTGTATCACAACAAAATTATTATAGAAATTCTTACACAATTTATTTTATTTATTTATAGTTTAAAAACAGCTGAAGTGAAATAATAAAATAAAAGCTTAAAATCAGGTTTTATTTTTATTTTATTATTACATTGTTTTCTATAGGTAAGACCCTATTTATAGCCTTACCTTTACCTTAGAAAAACATGCTCGGCTATTATGTATCTTAATATATGGCTAAAGATTCATTGCGAAAGTTCTTAGCATCCAAATATCTATTTTTTTGAATAAAACTAACCACAACACATACTACCACATAAACAGCCTTAGCCAGAACATCAAAAGACATATTCGGCTACAAAGTATCTCAATAAATGGTTAAAGATATTTTTGGTAAATTTTTGGTCTAGTGTCAGACTTATGCTTAAATCCCATTTGAGCTGAAACAATGGTCCATTGTGATACCACGAATTATCGTTGTTAATACGCACACTAGATAGAGGTCGTTATTTATGTTAATACCATAGTAGTTTCATTTCGGTTATGGTTCCAAGTATAATTAATTAATTTCTTATCTGACTTGTCATGAACTAGATCTTTTAAGCAATTACGTCATCTTTTCCCACAATATGCCTAACTGCTGCACCTGCTAAATTCGTAGTCAAAAAGACTTTAATCCACTAAAATTGCCTCTTAAATATGATTGGAGAAAATTTTCACCACTGATTCGAAGAGCAGCTTCAACTTTCAGGGAAAAAAGTTGAGATAAATGGACTTAGTACCTAGAAGTTTAGATTCATCTTTACCAGAAGTCTTTACCTTACTCAGTAAGGGGAGTAGAGTGTAGGGAGTAGAGCGGAACCTCCGAAGGTGGAGGTTCCGCCCATAAGATCTTTTTGCTATATATTTTATTTGTCATATAAAATATATATATATTTATGTGTGCATATAAAAACTTATATAAAATTAATATTAAATGTTTTTTAATATGTAATTAATTCGCTTAATTTTTTTAACAAAAAATGTGTGTCTGTTAATATGTCTTGTATGTGTAAATTATTTTAATACTCTTATATGTGAATATGTGTAGGCAAATTTCATAAAAGCACTTAAATATTAAGTAAAACAAAAAATGTATAAATATACATATATATTTATATTATATAGATATATTAGGAAAATATTATGGATAGATTAATATACATGAATATGTGCAAATATAGCCAAAAATACGGATATACATTTTAAATTTAACAAATTACATTTCTATTAAAAATTAAAATTTAAAATCCTTTAAAAGTCAACATAAATTCCCCTTACATGCCTCACAAGTTTCCGACTTCTCACACATTTTTCTTAACTAAATTTAATTTAATGTGTCAATTTTACACAATTTTTATGCAAATTGGCAATAAATTTTATATTATCCTTACTTTAAGTGTATGAAATGTGCATGAAACTCAACAGGATAATTTCGCTAAACAACAAAGCGGTGCTTAGTAGCACGTAAAACAGTGGAGCAAAAATCGAAAAGTGTTGTAAGAAGCAAAAGAGGTATTTGTATTTTGTTTAAAGTTCATCAACTTATTCAAGCCAATTCGTTTATTCCCTTTACAAACCCACCCGCCCCTAAAGCCAACAGCTTTTGCATATTAAACTCATTTGTTTTACATTTTTCGAAAGTAATCAAAATTGCCTTCAATTCCACTGTGGCTTACACGAGCACCAAATGGCCTAAAATGATTTATGGTCCAGGCGAGAAATAAACAAACGAAAAAAAGCAACAACTCCCTTAACTTCAAGCCACTAAGACTCAAAGGATATTTATGCCCCAGTAGGAGTATGTGTGAAAAGAACCCTTTTTTTTCAAGTTTGACCAATCGAACAAAAGTGTCAAAGGACATGAATCGAATGTAAATGAAGTAAAAGTTAAGCTGCTGCAAAATACATAATATAATAATATTAAGTGAATTAGTTGAGCGAAGGAAAAGCAACAACACCTTTTTCTTGAAATTTATGCAAAAATTCTTAAAAATTCAAGGTTCAAAAAACCGAAACGTGGGTCGACTTTCGAAGGTGCGATTGAAGACGCATAAATAAAAGATGCAATATTTCAGATATTTTACGCATGTGAGTTTCGTGTTACATTTTTCGAGTACAAAAAATTTTTGATTTATGTTTTTTGATTTTACATAAAGTATTGAAATGATAAATTTATTTTAAATTATTAAAATTGATTGGAATAGTTCAGCACTTTATGTTTCTTTAAACAATTACTCTAATTTATGCTCGAACAGAGTCACTTGTTCTAAATTTAATGTATTTATATGAAAAATAACTAATAACTTTTTTTAGTCCTTTTTTAAATCCTTATTAGTTTGTTACTTTAATACAAGAATACATAGATCAGAATTTAAAATTTTTAATGAAGCTAAAAAGTTGACAGAGAAATAACTCTAACTTATCTATAAATTCTCTAGCATTCACTCTGCATTCTTCTTACTGATAGCTTAGATCGACAACATCTGAAATTATAACATCAACCTGTCAGCTATAACAATTTTATAATTTTTTTTAATTTAGTATATTCAAATTCATAAACCTCTGGAATTATCTTATCTTTTAACGCTTGAGTGTACACCAATTTATGTGTATCTATAAATTCAGCAGTGATTAATAACTAATATGTATTTACAAATATTATTTTGTTTAAGATAATAGTAAGAATCGCTCTCCAGTTCAAAAGGTAAATACTGGCACTACTTATAATAATATTTTAGCTTTACAGTCCGAGGCAGCTGTTGACTTTCTCTACTATTTTTCTCTATTCAATTCTAGCTACCGCTATAATTTTAAAATTTCTAAAGCAAATTACTTTTGATTCATGTTCTATATAATCTACTAACCGTGCTGTTAATGAGGATGTCCTCTTTATCTTGCAGTTTGTGATTTATAGATTGGATTATTTTTTTGTTGTTTTTTTTTTGTTGTAATCCGCTGAGACCTTTAAACAGATAATAGGAGCAGATAAACAAGACGATTAAATGGGTGCGGAAATGAATTGGTAGTGGTTGGTGGTATTCGACGGAAGAATAAGGATAACGGGCGGATTGGGTGGATAGGATTTAGATCATTTTGTGCACATAGTTGCTTTCCATTTTTAGAATGTGACCAAACCATATTTATGTCTAAGTTTGGACTTGACTTAAAATAACTTTACCGGTAAAGTTGGGTTTATCCATAGCTACCAAGCGATCCTGAATACATTATCTTCTGCAATTTTCTTTGTTATAAATATTCCACTGTAATCATACTTTTTAACTACTTTGAAGTCGTATACTCGCACTTTAAGGTTGCGCAGAGTTCTACATATTTCTGGAAAATACCAGAATACATATTTCTGGAAATAATATATATACTATATAAGAATTTATATAGTATATATATTATTATTATTATATATTGACATAATATAATATATTTATATTATTATTGTATTATAGTATACATATATTATACTAATCTCATGTTAATTAATAATGCCAGTCTTTTCGGTAACTTATTTCTTTTAAAATTCATGTAGTCAAAATTTTTATGTCAGAAATTGAGTCTATGCATGTGTTTCCTATAAAAATCAGTTTTAAGTTTAATATTCAAAACCAAGATTTTATTAGGTTTTTATCAGTGTTAAGTTACTACTATAAATTTTACAGATACCTGTGACGATTAGTAGTTCCGGTTGAAACTAATCACCATTAAAATAAAAGTACTGATTAGACCACACAAAAAAGCAATGTTTTGCAGTTCCGGTTAAAACCTATTACCTACAAGTAATAGAAATTAAAGAAATATTAACATTTAACCATTAAAATGATATGTTCAAACTAGAATCAAAGTTTACCACTATCCTAAGCAATAACCAATAAATATTTTTGTGTGAAAATACTACTAATTGTTACTCAATTATTGAGTGTAAACACATTGTATTTTAAAATTGATTAAAGAATCTGGTTAAGTGTTGTCACACAAATCAATTTGTAGGCAATTCAATATCAAAGCAAAACAATAAAAAA